TCCAGACCGACTCTAACATCCAGCTGACTGGATTCCACTTCCACCTGATCAATATCAATTTAACAGCTGGGGAGTCAGGTGAATAAGATTATGTTGACGTCACATTACATTAACCTGTACATTTTCACAACGAACCAGATTGCGAATGAAACAGTTAAAATGTTTTACTCTTAATTGTTGCCAAAAATAACTACATCAAATATTAAAAACGGTGAGGTTAAACAGGCAACGATATGCGAAGTGATAAACAATTCCTCATTGAAACAGTTGCCTGACTAAAAGTAGTTTAAATTATACCATTTTTAATATAAATACAGTAACGCAGGAATTAGTATAGGCCAAAAAAAAATACTCGGTCTCTGGTGAGCGCGTGCGTCGATTTTTATCATGCGCGTCAACCTTTTTTTTGTCTTCAAATTAACGCGGAAGCTACAACAGCGCCCTCTATTGCCGCCCCTCCTCAAATTGTTGTACCAAGGAGCACCAAGGAATGGGGAAATTGCACCAATGCAAATGATTAAGGACACCAATGCAAATTATGGAGGACACCAATGTATAACGAGGACACAACAAAGCAAAATAGTACCCACCTTGTCTGTACAACTCAAGCTTGAAAAAAAAAAGCCCCCAAAAAAAAAAAAACGTGTCGCCGCATTGATTCCGGAACTTTGGTCTGACCAGAGACCGATTATTATTTTTTTGGGGCCTTATTTTTTTTTTTTACAGCAAAATCTGATTTTTGTTTTAAAAATTACAAGCCAATTAAGTTTGAGGATCAAATTCCAAATAACGTTGTTAATTAATTCTACCTGCAACACATTATTTCTCACTCGTGAGAATCGAGCCACGAATTTTAGAGTGGACGTTAGCCCTCGTCATTGCTCGCTCACATCATCGTCATTTTTCGCTTAAATGTGTTTTGTTTGTTATTCTCTTTCGAAGATTCGCAATCACTTCACTATTTAAATGTGTTTTGTTTTCCCCTGCAGATTGGTGCATGTTTGACGGGCAGTCAGGATTCCTGTGCGAAGAGGGAGCGTGTCTTGTAGCATCAGCAGAATGCGATGGATTCCTTGACTGCCTGAACGGAGAAGACGAGGACGAATGTGGTAAGCTGTGGAAACATCCTAAACAGGTTATCAGTGAACATAGTACGGCATGTATTGTCTGATGTTGACTGGTACTTTGCTTCTTAATATTTGTTGCTATCTAAGGCCTATATCTATAGAACTATAGTTCCGATTTGGTTGTAACTTGGTATGCACCTAAACCGGGATGTGTAATAGATGACAATTTCAGTGACATCGTGGTGACGTTATGATGGCGTCATCACATGTCATGTGATCACACATTGAACATATTTTTGTTTGTTCTTCGGCCAATATAGGCCTATAGGCCTACAGAAGTATTTTTTTTCCACAGAAGTAATTTAGTTATGTAACTTGGTAGGTAGTTGTAGACCGGGATGTGTTATAGATGACCATGAGGTGACGTCAAGATGACGTCATCACCTGTCATTTAAAGTCACATTGAACATGTACAATTCGAAGGCCTATGAGAATGTAAGCACTTACTATTGAACACCACCTTCAATTGTACGCATTGCAATATCTACAGAGGTACAGTTCCTGGATGGAACTTCTTCTTGTAACTGTACTTGCCAGATGTCAGCAAAATGGTTTGCCGAAACATCCCTCTGTTTATCTACAAACATAAGTTTACTTTTACACAACTGAATTAATTCACATTTTAGTTTTAGCTGTGATCCTTTTCTATTGTTTCAGCTTATGTGTACTGCCCATCAGATTACCACTGCAGCCGAACAAAAACCTGCATTGTGTTCCAAAATGTTTGCGACGGTAAAATTGACTGTGAGCACGGCGACGATGAAGTGGAATGCGGTGAGGACTTTTATAATGCATCCAATTCTAGTCCAGGTGTTTCGCCTATGGTTTCCAATGCTTGTACTAGAATGGTATCCGTGTGAAATTATTTTTCCCCATTTTATTCGCTTGAATAAGTCCCCGTTATCTGAGTTTACATTAAGGCGCTGATCATGTTATATGTAATGAGCTCAATGTTTAATTATTGGGTTCAATCTACCGTAAACGTTAGTTTCATTGCAATTGTATTTGTATGAAACAAATAATGAATGTTTCATGTTCTTGCTATGGAAAGAATAATTGTGTACGCTAACGCCTGGTAGAATGGAATATTCTATCTGCTCTTCTCGAGTTGTTCTTACCATTGCACTCATATAAATCCCTTATTTGTATAGTACATGTAGTAAATTAAACAAAGTGGCGTAACAATGTCATTTTGGTTTGTAAATGGCACTTGCTAGATCATCCGTGCTGAAAGGTAGACATTTTCCCCCTTTCGGTCACTCCCGGCCACCGTAGAATGAAACGCCAAGATTAGGCTGTAGGTGGCGCTTTTCTTGGCGGCACAATGCCAACGGTCTCTTGGCAATAAAAAAAAATTCACTCATGAAAAGGGTACTCGTGAGAAAATAGGGGCGTGTTAATATTTCCCTTAGCCCCTGGATGCTACGTCGCTATTTTGCAAAACAGAACACTTTTTAATTATACACGGGGCCCACCAAACAACGGAACTACGTACCTCCACCACCCCAACACTCAACAACCTATACCAATAAACAAGCAGAATTCTGTGAAAAGCAAAAGCTTAGGAAACAAAGATCGCCCGATGCCTTCCAGAACGTTTTGTTCCTGTGCCTATTTTGTGGAACAAAGTCGGGAGTGATTTCGTCTCGATGAATTACTAAACCACGCCCACAACTTTGGCTTAATTTGATAGAGGGGTTAATTGTTAGGTTATCATACCCACATTAAAGATGTGTGCTTCACAAAATAGACAGCAAAACTACTGGACCAAATCTGGAAATGTTGTTGTCATATTTCTTCTAAATCATTATCAAAGGCAGAAAAAGGTACGCCGCTCGGTGTTTTTTTTTTTTTTTTTTTGGGGGGGGGGCAGGATGGGACACCATGTATAGATGCACTGTTTATTTTTGTCCGCCTTTTCGGCAGCGGTTGGGGTTCGGTGCGGTCTGTTATGAGGTTGGCATTAAAACAAAAGTGAAAAGATACTTTACCAAAAAGAATGTGCATTGACGACTAAGTATCCTTCTAGAAGGGGTAATGCAATAAGCAAAGAAGTACATAGTGTGTTTTAAAATAATTTTGCAGATAACAAACGCTGTCCAAACAATTGCTCCTGTACGTACGTCAAGGGCCAATTCCAGGTAATGTGTTCACATGATTGGAAACCAGATGATCTACAAGACATCGCAAAAATCACCGTGGCACTGTGAGTATTTCTAAGCTGAAAAGTGCAACTGAGTTGTCATGTCTTGTCTCATTTCTCGTCTTGTTCAACCATATCTCGGGTTTTTTTTGTCTCATCTAATATCGTCTCGTCTCGTCTCTTCTGGTTTTGTGTCGCATTGTGTCTATTTGTCTTTCTTATCTAAAACTCTTAGGTCTTCTTCGTCTCATTGTACCCACTCTCTTCAAGTCTCTCACATCGAATGTCTTCTTCCTCTTTGTGTTTGTATGTTTTATTAAAACAACACCCTATTACATGTCCTTTGTGTGACTTACACAACATGTTTGGTACATGCCATTGTCAAGGGCGGATCCAGAACACAATTTTTTATTTTATTTTTTTTTTTTTTGGGGGGGGGGGCAAATAATATTTTGGTACCCAAAAAGTGTGTCCAAAAAAGTTACGGCGTTGGGTTTGGGGCCAACTTAAGGGCCCCTAATTTTTGTTTGATTTTAGATGCCCTGTGGTGCGATCTGAGGCAATTTATGACCACTTTAACTAATGTTTTTGATGAAAAGATGGTGGTTTAATTTTATTTAAAAATCGTCCCTACCGTTTTAAAAGTATACCGATTAGTTGCACGATATATAAACTGTCACTCAACCTTGTTTTGTTTGTTTGTTAATAATGCATTCAACGACAGTTTTCTCTTTTTATCAATATATATATAGCCGGCTGACCCGGCAAAAAAAACACAGTTCCATTCAACTCGTACCAGGACTTTTCAAAGAATTGAAGCTTCTTCGATCTCTGTAAGTAGGAGTGGCAAAAGAAACACATTTTTACTTTGTCCGTGTCTGCGACTCTTTTGTTGGAACTTAATCAATTAGCAAAGAATGTACATGTATCAGTGTAATGCTTGCCTATAAAGCAGTGATATGCCCCTCCCCCCCCAAAAAAAAAAAAACCCCAAATGAATGAATAAATGAATGACGAACCAACCAACCAACCAACCAACCAACCAACCAACCAACCAACCAACCAACCAACCAACCAACCAACCAACCAACCAACCAACTAACCAACCAACCAACCAACCAACCAATACATCAATCAATACATCGATCAATACATCAATCAATACACCAATCAATACATCAATACATCGATCAATACATCAATTAATCAATCAATACATCAATCAATCAATCAAGACATCAATCAATGCATCAATCAATCAATACAAATGAAAATAAAATATAACAAAATGAAATAACAGGTGTTTCCGCCCGTTGAATTTTTGCGAGCAGCGCATTCATTACCGTTGGATCAATATTCAAAGAGCGAGTCATTTAAGCCTGTCTTGAAGTTCAGTTAATCAGTTCTGGTGAATAATGCAGGTGTTAAATTACAAAACCAACCCCATGTTAAGAACTGTCTGTCCGCTTTTTATTCCAAATTAAAGACCGCCAAACTAAATGACGTGGTAATAACCTTTATGTTAGGCCAAAGGTCTCCTGTTGTGATTCTTTCCCGGACGTCTACCTTCAAAATCTACAATGATGCTTGCAAATGTTTAATCTTTGCAAAATCGACAGTTCTTTCATCATTATATTCGACGATTAAAACATCATTGATATTATACTTTGTTTGTTTGTTTATATTTTAAAGATCTGTCCCCTACAATAAGCTACGTGAGATCCCACCGGGAACCTTCTACGGCTTGGCAAATCTTACATATCTGTGAGTTATATTTTTCGAAATTATTCTTCCAAGAATGATTAAAATATGACCTGAGAAAAAAGACACGTCTGGCAACTTTAGCAATCGCAATCACTTAACCTTTCATTTGTTTATCTCGAAATTTAAGGTTGGAACTGGCAGAGTTTGTATCATGTATAGCATCAGATAGGAGGGCAACACAGTGACGGAAGTGGAATTGTAGTCCCTTCAAGTAAAACTACAATCTACTCTTATTTCTTAAAGGCAGAGTAGATTACTCATTGGTGAATTTGTTTCGTTTGAAGCAACAAAAGTGTTCCACATATCAATAAACAAATAAACAAATAACCCCATGACGTTGTAGCTCTGTTAATGCCAGTGTTGCACTAAATGTTGTGACTCGAAGCGAGTCCAGACATTTTAAGGAAGTGAAACGATCCGAGTCGAGACATTAGGTCAAGAAGGTCGAGTCGAGTCACAGTTTATGGTCGAGTCAGGTCACAATTTGTGGGCGAGTTGATTCGAGTTGAGTCAACTTTATGCTCGAGCCAGTTCGAGCTGGTTTTTTGAACGATTTATATTTATTGTCTATTTAGAACATCATCTAATACATATTTTATAGGGAGTTTAGTGTCATCACTCTCTTCAAATCAAGTATCACCTTTAAGCCAAAAATTGGTTAGTTACTTCCAATTCATTTCTGTTTAACTTCGACAATGGCTTTTGAACCTTGTTGAGTACGGATGTCAGCATAAGACTGTTCGGTATGCCAGTCAAGGTCTACGTCATGGCTGGAGCCTCGTGAAGTCACATTTGGCATTTACTATCTCCCTTCTGTGGTCCATATCGAGTTCTTGTAATCTCTTTACCTAACAGTGTTTCTCATCTTCCGCACTAATTTGCCTTCGTGCATATTTTGTTTGAATGACTGTACAGCAATATTTCCGGGAATGAGATGACTGAGATAGTAGCCGACACATTCAGTGAACTCCAGAACCTCGAAGCGCTGTAAGTGAACTATAGAACATTTCAATCTGATCCAAGTATAGTGTTAATCAAATGGAGCATCTGGGACAAATGTAAACATGTTCTGAGTAGGATATGACCCAATCTTGATCGCACCAGATGTGCATGTTAAGAGTTTCCAACATTTTCGTTTCAAACAGTATTGTGAAAAAAAAACACGGTAACTTGAACAGGGGTACAATTGTTACACTACCTGTTCATAACGTCCATACGTAAAGGGATCATTTTGGGTCAGTATCCCCCTGTGGAAACATTTTGACCCCGCATATTGTCATATCTGATCCGTGACCTAAAAGCCCCAGTCACACATTCACGGTTTGCAGCTACATATATCCACGGTTTAAAACTCGTGTTGAACCGTGTGAGTACCGTATCCATCATTAGTACCTCCGCAGTTATCCGTCATCTTCCTTGGGTATTCATGGAGGGGCTACGGGAGTTTAAAACTGTTCCAAACTTCCGTGGTGAATCTTCAAGAAAATCCTTCCGTAGTGCAACCGCGGGACATCCGTATGACAACCGTGCTAATTCGAAGGGTTATTCGTGGCTATTCGTACATATTCTTGGAGATTCGTAGCTCATTCGTGGTAGAAATCTCTACGAATTCGTTGCAAATGTCCAACGGATATGCCAAGATATGCTAGGATTCTGCTAAGGTTGTACTACGAGTGTGTATGCCTCATTCGTAAGAGAATCAACCCAGTTGTCCGTGACCCAATCGCATACAACTGGGGCGTTAAGGTCATTTTTCTTTGTAATACCGTCGATATTCTTCACCAATTCGTTCGCATTCTTGACAAACCGTGGTGTATTCGTGATTAAACTTAGGACAGTCGTGGATATCCGTCCTGAAACCGTAGTGCACTCTTAGAAAGTCGATTTCTCCACGAATCTCGACGGTTCATCGTTATCGATGATTCTTGGTAAACCATGGATATTCTTAGCCCCCACCATGAGTGTGCGACTGGGGCTATATTTATTATGCCGCAAGATGTATATGTCAATAATCTGCACATTCATGTAAATTGGGGGAAGTTTTAATTTAGACAACATGACCAACTTTCCACGGCTTCAAGCGTGTGATTGATTATAATCAGTACGACATTTGGGAAATAAAAGACAAGATTACTCATTGTATTTTCAACAGGGTCATTACGGATGCACCAGAATTGCGAATTGCAGCTAAGAATGCATTCACTGGTCTCTACAATCTGAAAACGTTGTAAGTATATAATTTATACGGGCAGAAAAGCAGGCTACCACTTATTTTGTTTTGAATGTTGGTTTGATCCATCTATTTTGAAAATTATGGCCCAGACGAGTGTTGAATTTGAATATCAACTTGGTATCAACAATACGCTGTCGGCTGCCAACGGCCAAATGTTCTCAATCAACCGAGCTGCGTGTGATATCCAGGGGTATTTTAGTGTTGATGTAGGTTTATAATGAGATTGGAGTCTTAACATGATTTAAAAACGGATCTTCCTTTTGTAATGTTTTAAACCACATCGTCTGTTAGGTTTCTAAGCAGTGATAGATATTATTCTAGTCGTGTGTACACCATGTATCGGTGATGAACATACCAGGTTTAGATTTAAATATTTTGGTGCGTGATTATGATTTCTGCAGTGTCCTGGTGCGAGACGTAGCCGACGGTGACCCACTAGATGCGAAAAATGGAGCCTTTTCCTCTCTACCTGCTTCTACAAAAGCGTAATATATGTTTGATCTAGATAATATTTTGTTTTGTTATGAGCAAAGAGACGCCATACTTTCCAACGTTGAAGGATTTGAAGGTTTTCTCAAGTTTACTTTCAATTGGTTCTTCCTCAGTGTTGTTGATGACTACCGACTTTGCTGCAATCTCCTGAGAGATATTCCAGGCTTCCAGATAGGCAACTGTCACACCACACAGTCACAGCCCCCGCTCAACCTCTGCGGTTCACTCATGCAGAACTACGGACTGCGCGTGTGCATGTGGGTCCTTGGGATTAGCGCCCTCTTTGGCAACTTCGGGGTTATCGTTTGGCGGCTTTGGCATAGGGATGGAAATGAAGTCAAGAAGACCCACTCTTTATTGGTGCTTAATCTTGCGGTGTCAGATTTCATCATGGGGGTATATATGTTGATGATAGCCGCTGCCGACATCCACTACGGGGAGTGGTACTCCACTCAAGCAGCGCAGTGGCGGACCAGCGCGCCGTGTAAGGCTGCCGGGGTGTTGGCCGTTCTGTCCAGTGAGGCCTCGGTGTTCTTCGTTACAATGATCAGTCTTCATTGCCTCCTGGGAATCGTGTTTCCCTTCACCAGGATGAAGCTCAGCGAGACATCTGCCAACAAGTTCATCGTAACGGGTTGGGTGACGGCTCTCTGCTTAAGCATCGTACCGACTCTAGTCGTAGACTCGAACTCGGACGTCTACGGTCTATCAGACGTCTGTATCGGCCTGCCCCTGACCACCAAAGCGACAGGAGTCCAGCTTGAGCCCAGCGACGTTGACAATCCGTTCGGGGACGCAAATGCCTTGCAGATTGTTTCTTCAACCGGCCAGAAGCCTGCATGGATCCTGTCCATCGTGTTGTTTCTCGGCGTCAATTTGTGCTGTTTCCTGGTCGTCCTCGTCTGTTACATCGCCATCTTCGTCAAGGCCAAGCGGTCCGCTCGCAAGGTCAAGAAGAACTCGCACCGGGACCGCGATATCAAGATGGCTGCCAAGATGGCACTTATCGTCGGTACAGACTTTGCCTGCTGGATGCCCGTCATCATTCTCGGTATCCTGTCTCAGGCTGGGGCGGTGCAGGTCGGTGCTGAGGTCTACTCCTGGATCGTGGTCCTCGTCCTACCCATCAACTCGTCTCTCAACCCGTACCTGTACACCATCTATTCCTCTGCAATGGCAAAGCGCAGCGCGCAGCCGAGTATCGAAAAGTCGAGTAATAAAGTTTTGAAACCCAAAACTGGGTCAATCGAAACAGTGAACTCCTCCTTGTCAGATAGCAAGCATATTTGAGTGACAAGGGTGGGCACAGGCAAGAACTAGCAATCGTCTTACGTTCATAAGCCCGACAGTGAAAAAAAAAAAACAGCTGAAAGCCATACGGCTTATGTACGAAGCAAAAGACCTGTAGGGAAGGAGTAGTGATTTTGTTGTACGCCAACGACCGCCTTGGAGGCACTGTTGGGTAGTGGCATAAGGAACTCTCTCCGGGTTGGACGTATCGTGCACTTACAACATTTTTAGGCGTCTAGCAAAATTAAGCACTGGTTAATATGTCCACTGTAGTGATTAGAAATAGTTTATTTGCTTTGCCCATAAGGTCAAATGAGGGCGCTGTTTAAGTTAACTGGTCAAACTTCCGCGAATTTGTTGAGGGGTTATGAGGATATAGAAATAGTACGTTCATCAGCCAAGTAAGGGGATATTTTGACGATAATAGATAACTAAGGGGTTCTATCTCTCATGATGTGCTGTATTCTCAGAAGTAAATTTCTGTTATTGTAAAATATGTGAATGTAGGATAGAGCAGATTATGTTTTTATCGTGTGCGCCTTAATACTAAACAACTGTTTACGTAAGCGGGTTTGGCGGGCACTGTCTCCGAGGTCTGCGTTTCTGACAGCTGCAGAAAGCTTGCTTTAGCAACTATTATCAGACCAATTTAGCCTGACAGCCGATGGCTGGGATGTACATTTAGACATCAGAGGAAGGAGAGACAGCCCTGGAGCCCGTGCACTGGCTGGTATGGAACAAATTGAATTATTTTCATGTTATTTTGGGGGTTTTACTATCAATGAAAGTATAATTTCCAAGACGCCGACCGGGTCAGAGGTCACATGTCATACGTGTATGTTAATGTGGGAAGGCCGTTGTATTTGCAATGGAGTTCTTTGTATCTGGGTTGGACTATGTAATTTTCTAGGGTTAATTTATTACTTGTACACACATGTATTGTGATTAATGGGATACGTGCACATGTATGTGAAGTTATGTGAGTTTATATTGATTTATTTTTAATGTATTTGATTACTAGGTTTTTTGTGATGAATGGGAGCATAGACGACTAATAAATTTGATGTGATCGAATCATCACCCCTGAACCTTGACTCCACACCGAGTTTCACTACACCACGAATACTTAAGGTATATCAAAATGAGTTTAAAAAGCAATACTCGTGAATGCAGGTTAATGACGTTTTATACATGCAGTGCAGGAGCGAATCGCTTGCTGAGAATTGACACCACGTGACCATATTATCAATTTCGTAAAATAGTCATATCGTTTTTATGCGAATTTGTTAAGCTTAAGAAAGAACAGCACCATTTGTGCCAATATTTGGTTTTGCCCTCCCACGACTATTTTCTTCCGAGTGAACGTTTGAAGAAAAAAAACAACCAGATAGGACTGGATTTTCTTGTTCAAACGTCCATTTGGGAGGTAAAACCCTGAGTATGCAGTGTTTATACGTTGGTGAAGGGAAACTACCTAACATTGCTTTACATTATCCTGTCGCAAATTCAACTTGTAAATTATATCATGTTTGTGTCAATAATGAAAGAACAAAATGCACCTTAATAGCAGCGTTAAACGTGCAGTGTGTCACATTTGAGAAAATCAATGATCTTGAATTGCAGCACCTGCCTAGTAGGCACGTTAGCTCGTATCTAATTCACATGAAAATGTATACATTTTAAGCAACATTTCAAGTACTCAATTGATCAAATCGCATAGTAAATAAGATACTTTTACTTCTAAACGCAATTTAGCTTTTGCAAAATGTTTCAAAATATTGAAAGCTTGCACAACCACCAATGCACATAGATTTGTTTGGCACGTTTGCACGTTTATCTTTCAAAGACACAAGAACCTGGCATGAAATAACATAACATAATTTATTGTCATGTTCATTGTCATGAGTTGAGCTCAAATGTATAACGTCACAAATTAAATTGTGCTTACTTTTTAAACTGATCACTTAAATAAAAAATTATCTGACAAAAAGTAAGACTGCTGCAAACTGCTTACTGACCGAATGGACCTGAGATATATAAATCAAAAAATTATTGTGGCCTGACGTTGCGAACTTAGCAAGTTCTTCTTCAGAGGCTAAAACAGAAATGACAGAGGTACATGTACATACATTAACATGGGGTGCACAAAAACATGCAGGGCTGAAATAAGAAACACAAAAGGAGGATTAGGTGGGAAAGGTGTGGAAAGATGCAGGGGAGGGTGGACGAGAGAACAAAGAAACAAAGGGAGATAGCAAACCACAAGGGGTCTGGTATAAACAGGGGAGGTGAAAAGGGATGAAAGATGGGGGAAGAAGGGTAAACACAAACAAGGAAGACCAGGTGGATTATCTGTAACAAAAGACAATGGAGGAAGAACATGATTAATCATTTACAAGTTGGATGTTGAGACCATGTGGTTGAATAGTTCGAAGACGATTCATCCACACTTTCTCTCTGCTGGGGCGAACTGAGTCCTTGCGATGGCCAAGAGATTCAATGCCCTGCAAAAACATATCAGAAATGGAGTGGTTAGGCAGGTTGAAGTGATGACCAACAGGGGTGTCTAGTTTCTTGGTGTTGACCGTTGACCGGTGGGCATAGAAACGCTTCTTGAGCGTATTCTTAGTCTCACCTACATACTGCACTCCACAGACCCTGCAAGAAATGAGATATATGACATTAGAGGTGTTACAAGTGATGTTACCAATGGTTCTGTGGGTAGTGACAGAAGAGTGGCCAGAAAAGGAGTCAGATCCTGGATATGAATCTAACAGACAACACATCTGGAACTGCACTTGAAAGTACCATGCTGGGTGGGAGGGGATGAATCTAAGGATGGGACTTCAGCTCGAACAATCAAGTCCCGTAGATTTCGAGGACGTCTGTAAGCCAATGTGGGGCCGTTGGGGATGGCGCGGGCAAGGCGATCTGAAGTATGGAGGATATGATGATTGTCATTAGTGAGTTTGCGAAGGGGAGGGAGATTGGGGTGAAACGTGGTAACCAAGGGAATCATGGGTTTGGCCATGGCATCAGGGGCCTTTCCCGTGAGAGCTAGATTTCTGGGGATAGCTTTAGCTCTGGCAATGGCACAATGAACTTGGCGAGAGCTGTGACCCCTGGCCACCAAGTTGTTCCTCAGTATCTGTGTATGGCGGGAGAAATCGGAATCATTATAACAAATTCTTCTGAGTCTGAGTGCCTGGCTAAACGCTATGCCAGTTTTGCAGTGCCTGGGGTGACAGCTGGAGGAGTGGAGGTACTGGTGGGTGTCTGTGGGTTTGGAATACAGGTCAGTGGTTAGTGAGTTGCCTTGCTTGCGGACGGTGACATCCAGAAAGTGGGTTTGGTGAGCCGAGAACTCCGATGTGAATTTGATGGTTCTGTGGAAGGAATTGATGTGGTTAGTGAAGGTCAAGAGACTGTCCTAATCACTGGTCCAGATGAAAAAAACATCATCAATATATCTCCACCAGATCCAAGGGCGACATGGGGCTGAGGCAAGAATGCGTTCTTCGAAGTCACCCATGAAGAGGCAAGCCATGGAAGGGGCCATGCGAGTGCCCATTGCAAGGCCGTGTACCTGTAGATAGTGTTCACCAAGGAAGGAACAATTGTTCTTCGTTAGTATAAGTCTCATGAGGGTGCCAACATCACTGATGGGAGGAGTCGTGTGTCCTGCCTTGGCCAGAGCCAAGGAGCAAGCACGAACACCCTCCTCGAGTAGGATGTTGGTGTACAGAGATGAGACGTCGAAAGTCCCAATGATGGCTGTGCTGGGAATCTGGTCCTTGATTCCTTCAAGCTTGCGTAGTAAGTCTGGGGTGTCGTGAATGTATGACAAAATCTGTGGGACAAGGGGTTTGAGAAAACTGTCAATGAACAGGGAGATGCGTTCCGTAGGTCAGCCATTACCGGACATGATGGGTCTACCGGGGTTACCAGCCTTGTGAATCTTGGGTAGAAGGTAAGATCTGGCAGTCCTACAATCACAGGGAGAAAGAAATTTGTGAGCTTAGAAAGAAATTTGTGAGCTTTCTTGGACAACTGGTCACGTGATCGCATAGCGTCAAGTACCTGTTGAATATCTCGACAGAAAGTGCCTGTGGGGTCAGAGTCAAGGCGGGTATAGTTAGTGCGATTATCCAACTGGCGGTGGGCCTCATCAATGTACTGCTGACGATCCATGATGACCACAGCTGAACCTTTATCTGCTGGCTTGATGATGATGTCGGTGCGAGAGCGCAAGGAGTTGAGAGCCAGGCGCTCCTCTCTGGGGAGATTATCATGAGTCCTGTGGGGGAAGTCGTCCGGGTTAGTGACTTGGGAATTGATAACTTGAACGTATGTCTCTATGGCTGGCACACGATTCTTGGGGGGTACCCATGAACTCTTGACTCGAAAAGGCTCTGGCTCACACGGTTCACTGTCCAGGAAAAACTCACGCAGACGGATTCTACGGTAGTATTCCGTGAGATCTTGGCTGAGCTGAACCTGGTTCACAGAAAAGGGAACGGGACAAAAATTGAGACCCTTGGAGAGAGTTTGTGCTCTGCGTCAAATATTGATGAGGAAGAAAGATTAACTACAGTGTTGACAAGGGGTTCTGGCGGTGGTGTGGTAGATGGGGACCTAGGACGTCTGAAACGTCTGTGTCTGCGTTGCTGTTGCTTGGCAAGCAAGCCATTAATCTTCTTGTTTCTCCTGTTGAGTAGGACAGAGTCAAGGTTAGACAAACCCCTTTCAACCTCATCATGGAAATTCCTGTACGTGGAATCAGAACAACTGGATTTGAGTTGGGAGTCAAGGTGGGAAATATTCAGATGGAGGTCCTCACGTGTAAATTGACACTGCTGAGAGAGGATATTGATGAGTTTAATAGAGGCACCATGTATGACTTGATTCCATCTCCTTTGAAGGTGTGGTGGGGGGTTTCCTAAGCAGGGAGTGTGAGACAGTTGCAAACTTTGGGGATAAATCGAGAGAGGGAGTAAAAACTGTAGTTATCCTGATGGTAGGAAAAGCGTAAGGCCTTTTCCTTT